ATACAAGGCTTTGTAGAATAACAGTTTGCTCTACTAGCAGAGGGTCATGATTTCACAAGATACTATAATTTACTTATGATCCCTTATGTTCTGGTAGGCCATTTACTACTGTCCTGTTATTGCATAACAAGGAAATGTAGACCACTTGGAGAAACACTGATATGTAGTTCAAAGCTGCAAAAAGTTAATAGCAAGCTTTATCTCCAGAGCTGCTCATTGTCTTAAGCAGAACACCGTAATATCTCCCTTTAAAAATTAGCTATCCTTGTAACATATTTAAGAATCTGAGTAGGATATGTTCTAAGAACAGTCAAACTGGAAAAAAAAGTATTCAGTGTCCTTATTACTAATTGTTCAATAAAGCAATAGATCTAAACTGTCATGTTAAAAATCATATGTTGTGGGGGATATCCTCTGTTCTCCAAGGTGGGAAGATAAGACCCCACACTAGCACGCTCTGGCCGCATCTACACAAGATGCTTACTGCACAGTAGCTCTTTACTATTGCGTAGTAGCATCATGGAGCATGAACTGTGACGTGATGCTACTGCACAGTAGTAATGAACTACTGTACAGTCTGCATCACCAAGAAAACGTGTGGGGACGTTACGGCGCAGTAATGCCGGGTACTACGCAGTCATTTAGTACTTGAGTATGCAAGTACTAAATGACTGTGCAGTAACCACTGCACAGTCAGCATCTCATGTAGACACAGCCTCTTTCTTGAATTATAAGCCTGATAAAAGTCAAATATGACTGTAAAATGGATGAGCCCTGAGTGCTACATCCTGACTTGGGGATGTATCTACAAGTGGGAAAACCCTCTGTTTTCAGACACACCCCTCTTTCAGGGCACAGGGGTCCCTCCCATAAGGGATTTTTCACCCTCTGTGCTTACACACTGCACCCCAACCCAGGGCATGCAACATGATAGGTGCACTTTGGTCTGGCGCAGGAGAAAAATCCCTATGGGTGTTGAGCCCCTTCCATACTTGTAGACACCCGCTGAAGGAACTATTCTCCCAGAGCACATCTGCAAGCTCGGTGGGGGTTGCCTCCTTGCTTGCAACTGTGTTAGGGAAATGATTCCCCCAACACATCTCCATAGGCATTCCCCCCTTTACTTGCACATAGTGTCTAGAGCCAAAACATAGCAACGAGTAAAATACGTTGGGCCCCAATGCACCTAGCAAGCTGCCACATCCTAAATCAGGATGCAATTTGCAAGTACTGAGAGGCAGGGGTCCAGCACCTGGTCTGCAAGTGCAGAAGGAGGAACCCTTTTGGCATTTCTCCCCTCTGTGCTTCCCCTGGTCTGCAAGTTCTGGGGGAATTCTCTGAAGAGGGGAATCCTCTGAAGAGATATTCCCTGGTGCCCTGACCAGGAACACATCTGTAAACAGCGGGTTTCCCCACTTGCAGGTGGGCTCCCAAGTCAAGGTATGGCACATAGGGTTTTTTTTCTGCAGGCACAGACCCCTGAGTCCAGGGGCAATTCTTGTCTGGCATTGTAAGAAAGTGCAGATAGCTATGGGCTGTCTGCATTCTCCCACCATAAGCGAATAGAAGTCAGCCACGAAAAAGCTGCACAAATTATTACTAGGTTTGTTGCCACTACAAAATTCAAGCACCCGTGGCACAACAAAGAGCTATGACATCTGTTCCCATGGCTTTTGTGCCACCATAGATATTTTTATGGCAACACAAAGTTGACATTGTTTGCAGCCTTTGTTATACCCCAGCAGTTGTGTACTAATTCATCTCTGTCCAAACTCAGTGCAAATAAGGTGCTTATGTGTTTGCTCTGTGATTATTTATATAATACATAAAATAGCCTTGAGTTTAAAATAAAGAAGGAAAATCTGTCCCAAAGTGATTTAAATATGGTAAAAATAGATTTAGTATAATTTATTGATTTCTTTGATTAATAATATATTTGTTGATATATGCTTACAGAAAAATCTCATATTTGTGTGCAAATTAATGTGCCCTGAAATACTACAGGAGCAGTTACAGAGACCCAATGATCCTACAAGTTTAAACTCAACTTTAAAATCATCTGATTTTACCACGTACAAATATTGAATGAGTATTTAAAATTTTACCCTTACTTTAGTACTTTAGCTTTAGCATGAAACTTATGCCATAGCATATTTTTTACAAAGTTTCAAAAGCTTTGTGGCATGAAACTAAAACATGCATATACCAAATTTTAAAAGATAATAAAATGTTTTCTTCATCTTCCCTGAGTGAATACTACTTTGTAACTAAAACAAATTAGTTTTCCTATATTAATCTATTAAGAATTAATCTGAATACATCCCTTATTACTCCCCCAGTGATGACAAAAGCCAATTATTTTGAATACCTTATGACTTCTTATAGAAGTAGGAGTATAATCTCAAACAATTTATTTACAAATGCTATTGAAATGTGCTACTAGTAAACTACACACTAATGAAAAGATAAAGCATGATACATCATTAGCAAAACTCTAGTAGAAAACAGTAAGAAGTAAAGATTTTTCAAGAATGACCTCTTGATCATTATGAATATATTCATGATAATCCTTCAAGCTTGAAGGATGCTGCAGTGAAACTTTTGTTTAACATAGCTTATTATCTTTAAATTACTTTGATACATAGTGATTATTGATAGGGGATAAAAATTCTTCTACTGAGTCAGAACAGACTCATTTGAGCAGTCCCATAAATATAAGTTTCATGCCCCATCTAAATATTAAGCTTAAAGGACGTAAGTGATTATAGTTAGTAAACAAATTAACATGTTTAAGTATCTGTAGGACTGTGATCTAAAATGCTTTGTATTAGCCTTCATCAAACTCCAGCTAATTTTTAAAGATTTTTTTTTTAAATATCTAATTTGATTATGATCTGCCTTTCCAAATTCCTTAGTTATTACAAATACAATGTTATATACACAAAATCTTTTTCCTTCACAATCTGTTTTGTCTTTTTGATGCCCTCAGTAAAGCCAAAAGTCAACGTTTGTTAAAATATATATATACACCTTAGACAATGGAGTACAATGGCACCAAATTAAAACTTATGAGTTCATAAACAAGGTAAAAATAATTAAGACATGTTGAGTCTGATCTTGCACCTACTGAAGTAATTGCAAAACTAGGGGTGGGCAACAGACAGTATTTTAGTAATTAGCAAGAGGTAGAAAAAGGTCATGATATTTAAACATGGTCTGTGCAAGTTGTATGTACGTGAAACTTCTATTCAAAATAACTAGAATGACACTTGCAAATGTGTTAACAGTTGCCTGAATGATGCTGATACTCTTTAGTTTACATAATCAGAAGGTGATTTTATTTTAAGAATATCAAAGCAATTCATAAAAATATTGTATTACAGATTCTTCTTAATTCCATCTGCAATCTATTTAATTTAACTTCAAAATGAATGTGTATTTTGTATTTAAGCATTTTAATGTAAGGAAACAACCTAAGGGCAGAGCTACATTTCCAAATTTGATTTAATTTTTGGATTTAGAATTTAGGATTCCTCAGAAAAATGTACTATTACTAAACATTAACTAGAAACCTTTGTATTTTATTTTAATCTCGAAGTAGGAACTTTATAGATAACTAAAAACTTAAAACAAAATTAAATCAATACCCATTTGAAAAGTAGAGGGGAAAAAGTACTTTTTAATGAATATAATATAGTCTCAAAAATGTTAATGATGGAAAGAACTGAATGAACAGGGCAATTCAGTTTTCTTTCAAATCTTTATACACTTTATCTGGATTTCTGTCCTAGATCTT